TGCGTTCCAGACTTCAGGCTGTAATTGACTGCAAAGGATTTGCAACCAAGTATTAAAAAGTGAAAGTTTGATTTATGATTATTATTCTGTCCCATTACTTTTGGTCCCTTAACAAGTGGGAGGCACATATGCAAACTGTTGTAATTCCTACACCGTTCACCTGATTTGGATGTAAATACCCTCAAATTAAAGCTGAGAGCCTGCAGTTAAAGCACATCTTGTTTGTTTCATTTCAAATCCATATATGGTGGTGTATAGAGCCAAAAATGTTAGAATTGTGTCGATGTCCCAATATTTATGGACCTGACTGTATATGCTGGTTACAGTGCATTTCTCTCTGCAATTCTGAGGAAAATGCTTCATTCCAAACATTGTTCAGAAGAACAGCATACCTTGATAAAAAGTTGATTGGAGAAAGGAAAACATATAAAGAAGTGCAGAAAATGATAGGCTGGTCAGCTAAAATGATCGCAAATGCTTTAAAATGGCAACCAAAACCTGAAAGACGTGGAAGAAAGCGAAAAACTACCATTCGGATGGATAGAAGAATAGCCAAAATGGCGCGGACTCAGCCAACAATCAGCTCCAGGAAGATGAAAGAAGGTGTAAAGTTCCCTGTGAGGACTGTTACAATTAGAAGACGCCTATGTGAAGCCAAGCTATCTGCAAGAAGCCCCCGCAAAGTCCCACTGTTGGAAAAAAGACGTGCTGAAGAGGTTACAATTTGCCAAAGAGCACATTGACTGGCCTAAAGAGAAATGGCGCAACATTTTGTGGACGGATGAAAGTAAGATTGTTCTTTTTGGGTCTAGTGGCCGGAGACAGTTTGTCAGACGACCCCCAAACACTGAATTCAAGCCACAGTACACTGTGAAGACAGTGAAGCATGGTGGTGCAAGCATCATGATATGGGGATGTTTCTCATACTACGGTGTTGGGCCTATTTATCGCATACCAGGGATCATGGATCAGTTTGAATACATCAGAATACTTGAAGAGGTCATGCTGCCTTATGCTGAAGAGGAAATGCCCTTGAAATGGGTGTTCCAACAAGACAACAACCCCAAACACACCAGTAAACGTGCAACATCTTGGTTCCAGACCAACAAGATTGATGTTATGGAGTGGCCAGCCCAATCCCCGGATCTTAATCCAATAGAAAACGTGTGGAGTGACATCAAAAATGCAGTTTCTGAGGCAAAACCAAGAAATAGAGAAGAACTGTGGAATGTAGTCCAATCATCCTGGGCTGGAATACCTGTTCACAGGGGCCAGAAGTTGGGGGACTCCATGCAACACAGATGTACAGCAGTTCTCAGAAACAGTGCGACTACAACCAAATATCCATGAAGTGATTCAAAGGAAAGCAAAATCTTCAAACATTTTTCAGTTTATATAGTGAATGTTTGAGTTTGTAAAAGAAGAATACAAACACTGCTATTTTTTTGAACCGTCTAATATTCACTTTTGTTCAATTTTCTTAGAGGAACAACACAAATGTGATCTATTTTTCTTCATGTTTTGATTTGGAATAGAATGTGTCGTGTTTCCAATGCATTTGTGTGTATGGAAATAAAAGCTATTAGAAGGATTTAGAGCTTTATTAAATTTTTTCAACACACTGCTATTATTTTGAACACAACTGTATATGTAGGCATAGGCCCCTCCGCCACGCCCCCTTAAAGGAGAATTATACAAAAAAAAAATGAGTTAAACCCACAAGTGCTTTTTTTTTTACAACTATTATTCCTTTAGGTCCCATTCACATGGGTGTCCCGTATGTCTGTTTTCATCTGTCCGTTTACAGATGAAAAACGGACACCCATGTATTTCTATGGACTAACAGTTATCTGTTTACATCTGTTAATGTCCGCATCCATTAACATCCTTTTTTTTGACCAAAAGAAAACCCTATTTTTCTTCTGTTAAGAAAAAAAAAAAACGGAACAGATGAAAAACGGATGTAAATGGATGTAAACTGACAAACACAAAATGTAATCGAACACAAAAAATGGATGTAAATGAACGAAACACGGATGTAAATGGACAAAAAACTGATATAAAATGGAAGTAAATGGACATGCAATCAGTTTTTGCATTGGCAAAGGATGTAAAAAAATTGATGTAAACAGGTGAAGAACAGACAAAAAACAGATGTAAATGAACGTTAAAAAAACGGATGTAAATGGAAGACAAACAGATGTAAATGGATGTAAACTGACAAAAAACGGATGTAAACAGACAAAAAACAAAATGGACGACAAACTGATATAAATGGAAGTAAATGGACATGCGATCAGTTTTTGCATTGGTAAAGGATTTTAAAAAATGGATGTAAACTGATGAAAAACGGATAAAAAGCAGATGTAAACTGATGAAAAAAAATGGATGTAAACTGATGAAAAACAGATGAAAAACAGATGTAAACTGATGAAAAACTGATGTAAACTGATGAAAAACGTATGAAAAACAAATGTAAACTGATGAAAACCAGATGTAAACTGATGAAAAACAGTTATCTGTCTACATCTGTTAATGTCCGCATCCATTGACATTTGTTTTTTTTGAACGGAAGAAAACCCTATTTTTATTCTGTGTAAAAAAAAAGGAACGGATGAAAAACTGATGCAAATGGACGAAAAACAGATGTAAACGGACAAAAACAGATGTAAATGAACGAAACACGGATGTTAATGGACGACAAACGGATGTGAATGTAAGTAAATAGACATATGATCAGTTTTTGCAGTGGTAAAGGATGTAAAAAAAACAGATGTACACTGATGATAAACGGATGAAGAACAGATGTAAACTGATGATAAACGGATGAAAAACAGATGTAAACTGATGAAAAACGGATTAAAAACAGATATTAAAGGATGAAAAACAGATGTAAACGGATGAAAAACAGATGTAAACTGATGAAAAACAGATATAAACGGATGAAAAACTGATGTAAACAGATGAAAAACGGATGAAAAAACAGATGTAAATGGATGTAAAACGGATATACACTGATGTAAACTAATCCGTAATTTCGTGCAAAAAAAGTGACTGAACTGATGAAAAACAAGGAACGCCCGTGTGAAAGGGGCCTGAGGGTCTTTTCACATGGAGTGGACCCATTAAGCAGATCTGCTTGCTCAGCAGGGGATCTCTTCGCTGATCCCCGCTGAGTAAGCAGATGACAGGTCTGTGTCCGCTCCGCTGCTGCAGAGTGGACACATAGCTGCTTGCTCTCCTCAATGGGCCTGTCTGTTTTCATCTGACCCGATCTGACGGACGGAAGAGGAATTGGTTCCCCATCCATCCCTTTTTGGCAGACCAGATGTCGGCGCTCCATAGAGGTAAATGGAGGTTCGGATGGGGTCCACCTGAAAAACGTTCCTGATCGGAATGTCCGTGTGAAAGAGCCCTTATACTGGCTTTTGAAGTTTACAAATACAACCATCTAGAAACGGGATGAAAGGTTTTGCCCTGGGAAACACTTTTTGTAAAATAAATGCATTTATCAGACCAGAAAATGAGGGACAAATGAGGAGGATGGAGGGACTTCCAAATCAGGGACAGTCCCTCGAAATCAGGGACGGACTGACAACTCATGGGGCCCCGGGCAATAGGGGATCATGGGGCCCTTGTGCCCTTGCCCAAACTCAAAAAAGTCTATGAAAAAGGTACCAGGGACATCTCATGGGGCCCCCTACTGACCCCGGCCCTCGGGCAGTGCCTGAGTTTCCAAATGGTCAGTCCGCCCCTGTCAGGGACAGTTGGGAGGTATATGTTAGGATAGACTATACATTCAAACAGCTGAAAGATTGTAAAGCTGCCGCTCTTCTATGGTGAAAAACGTTTCAATCCCATGGTGGCGGAGGTGGCGACGGCAGTGGGGCTAATCTCTGGGACTGCAGTGGTTAAACAAGTCATGTGACTTTGCCCCAGAGAGAATTCGATCTTTCATTCATCTGCTGAGAACATAAAGATGTCAGGATCGCCCTGTGACCTGTAATAAGTAGATGTGACAGTTTCTGATCTCTGCAAGCTCTTAACTCCTACAAAGCTCTCATTAAAAATACCCCGGCTCCTTTTATGAGCCATTATGAGCCGTCAGATCATCCGATGGGCCGGTATCAAAGTGTAGTTGCTGTTTACGTGACTGTGTTCATGGGGATCCCCTGTGTTCTTACATGGGGCGGTTTGACGACATGAGAACCACATCAGAAACAAATGTCTATTAACGGGGGACTGTAGGTAAAACGGAACTAGACTGTATCCGAGCGCCACAAACAGAAAACACTGTTTTATTAATTTAGTGCCCGGTCACACCGGGGTGATTTCAGTTGCCATTTGTGAATTGAAATTGTATCTAATGAATGGGGCAGCAGTGTCTAAATGGTTAGCACTTCCGCCTGGCAGTACTAGGGTCATTGGTTCAAATCCGCACCTCCTGCCTGGAGTTTGCATGTTCTCCTTGTGCCTGCGTGGGCTTCGTCCAGGTACCCCCAGTTTCCTTCCACACTCCAAAGACATGCTGGCAGGTGAATTGTCTCCTGTCTAAATTGTCCCTAGTATGTGTATGTATGAATGTGAGTTAGGGACCTTAGATTGTACGCCCCTTGAGGGTTAGGGACTGATGTGAATGTACAATATACAGGTGAAACTTGAAAAATTAGAATATCGTGCAAAAGTTCATTTATTTCAGTGCAGCAACTTAAAAGGTGAAACTAATATATGAGATAGACTCATTACATGCAAAGCAAGATAGTTCAAGCCGTGATTTGTCATAATTGTGATGATTATGGCTTACAGCTCATGAAAACCCCAAATTCACAATCTCAGAAAATGAGAATATTGTGCCATTGGCAGCTAGGGACCTCAACCACGAAGTCTCAGCCAGAGATTCCCCACAGGCACCCAGTGATCGATGAGTAAAAACTGACAGGGGGAGAGACCTGTGTGTAAACAACACTCTCCTGCCAGCATTTCTCTGCATTTCTCTGCAGCATGTCTCCCTAGTATAACAGCACACAGTTAACCCTTTGATTGCCCAGAAATGAACCCCTTGCTACCCAGTGCCATTAGTACAGTATATGTGCTTTTTATTAACATTGACCACTGTAATAGTGTCACTGGGGATGTCAGTGGTAGTCAGTCCCCCCCCCCCCCTCCAGTGTCAGAATGCCCGCCGCAGTCCCACTATAAGTCGCTGATCGCCGCCATTACTAGTATAAAAAAAAATTAAAACCCAAGTATCTATGCCTCCAATTTGCAAACGCTATAACTTTCACGTAAACCAATTAATTTACACGTATTGGGATTTTTTTTTAGCAAAGACATGGAGCAGAATACATTTTGGCCTAAATTTACAATGAAATTTGATTTTGTAAATTTTTTTTACTAGACATGTTATATAGCAAAAAGTCAAACATATTGTTTTGAAATTGTTGGCCTTTTTTTGTTTATATCACAAAAAATAAAAAACGCACAGGTGATCAAATACCATTGAAAGAAAGCTCTATTTGTGGGGAAAAAAAGACATAAATGCCATTTGGGTGCAGTGTTGCATGACCGCGCAATTGTCAGTTAAAGTAATGCAGCGCTGTATCACAAAAAATGGCCTGGTTCAGGAAGAGGGGTAAATCCAGGGCCGTGGATAAGGGGGTACCACCAGTCCTCCTGTACGGGGCCCAGACCAGCAGGAGGTGCCCAGGCAGCTGGGTGAATCAGATGTAGGCAGGGAGGGTGATCGGCATGGTAGGGGGGCAATTACTGGAACCAATCCGCTGATGGCTCCCTCTGCAGCATTTTAAAGCTGGATTCTTCTACTCTTCCTCCCACTTGTTTTCAGCTGCTGCAGAGAAAGCACATACAGGGGATCGGTTCCAGTAACTGCCCCCCCCCAGCCTACCATGCCGATCACCCTGCCTGTGCAAATCTGAATTACGCAGCTGCCTGGGCCCCCACAGTGCCAGCTTCTCTCCTCTCCTTCCCACCGGCCGCTGCAAGCACACAATAGGATGCTTCAGGATGGAGATTTGGGGAATGGTCCTTAAATATGTCACATTAACCAGCCCCTACCTTTCCTGAATGAACACAATGAGTGATCGGTATTGATCACCCACTGTGTCCATTCATGATTGAAGCATAGTAATGTGTTCTTTTTTTTTTTTTTTTTTTTTTTAGGGGGGCCCTGCCAGGATGGCTGTATGGGGCCCCGTGGTTTCTAACAGCAGCCCTGGTAAATCCTCTGGAGGGCAAGTGGTTAATCTCTAGTGTTGCGCTAAATTGAAAAAAAAAAAATAATATACAAATTTTGTGCAAATATTACATAAAAAACAATGATGAACAGTGAATAAAGGCTCAAAAGTGAACTAATGCCAGAAATTAAAGTGCAAATAGAGTTAACATATGTGTAGCAGTCCCTGTGGGGTATGTAGAACAGTCCCCTTGTTTTGTGATGAATAGTCAAAACTCTTCATTCCAATATATCCACCAACGTGAACACTGCACCACCGTGATGACAAATTGGAGGCTTACCGAATCCTTTGACCCCTTGACTATAGGGAGTCAACAAACGCCTTTTTTTTAAATAGTTCTCTCCAGTCTCATGTATCCCAGGCCAGACCCCATGTTTCATCAAAGGCTCCTCAGACTGTCCCGATCTCGTAGGGTTGGCATATACTCACATAAAAATAAAAAAGGTTCCTCTCATAGTGCAGATAGTTTAAAAAAAACATTTATTGAACAGAGAGAAACGCACTTACAAGCATCATGAACTTTACAGGGATCATAAAATCCTCAAACAGCAAGGAACAGTAAAACCGGCAATTCTTACACGATGACGTCGCAAGGGGAGGCCACGTTTCGTCATACCAGACGTCTTCCGGGGCTAGAGTGGTAAAACATCACAGCACACTGCCTCTGTATTCCTCCAAGAGCCATTGACAATAATGCAAGGAGTGGGCTGGCTCTTGGGAGTTATGCAAATATTAAAATGCCTTGATGAGTGGGCATCAGTCTGGAGAAATGGGTGTTCCTAGGCAGGCTGTATTTGCATGCAAACAATCATGTGCTGCTGAGCCTCCATGATTGAAAGAACTGAAATCCAATAAATAACAGGGGGCGGAGCCAGGGACACTCAGGAAAGGGCTAGATCAGTGGTCTCCAAACTGTGGCCTGGGGGTCGGATGTAGCTCTTTGCTTGCCTTTATCCGACCCTTGGGGCATTACTCCTCCCACTGATACCAATGATGGGGCATTACTCCTCCCACTGATACCAATGATGGGGCACTATTCCTCCCACTGATACCAATGATGGGGCACTATTCCTCCCACTGATACCAATGATGGGGCACTATTCCTCCCACTGACACCAATGATGGGCACTATTCCTCCCACTGATACCAATGATGGGGCACTATTCCTCCCACTGACACCAATGATGGGGCACTATTCCTCCCACTGACACTAATGATGGGGCACTATTCCTTCCACTGACACCAATGATGGGCACTATTCCTCCCACTGATACCAATGAGTGGGGCACTATTCCTCCACACAATGATGGGGCACTATTCCTCCCACTGACCAATGATGGGGCACTATTCCTCCCACTGATACCAATGATGGGGCACTATTCCTTCCACTGACCCCAATGATGGGGCACTATTCCTCCCACTGACACCAATGATGGGGGACTATTCCTCCCACTGACATCAATGATTCCTCCCACTGATACCAATGATGGGGCACTATTCCTCCCACTGACTAATACCAATGATGGGGCACTATTCCTCCCACTGATACCAATGATGGGGCACTATTCCTCCCAATGACATCAATGATGGGGCACTATTCCTCCCACTGATACCAATGATGGGGCACTATTCCTCCCACTGACATCAATGATGGGCACTATTTCCTCCCACTCCAATGATGGGGGCACTATTCCTCCCACTGACATACCAATGATGGGGCACTATTCCTCCCACAATGATGGGGCACTATTCCTCCCACTGACCAATGATGGGGCACTATTCCTTCCACTGACATCAATGATGGGGCACTATTCCTTCCACTGACACCAATGATGGGCACTTTTCCTCCCACTGACACAATGATGGGGCACTATTCCTCCCACTGACACCAATGATGGGGCACTATTCCTCCCCTGACATCTGCACTATTCCTCCCACTGATACCAATGATGGGGCACTATTCCTTCCACTGACACCAATGATGCACTTTTCCTCCCACACACAATGATGGGGCACTTATTCCTCCCACTGACACCAATGATGGGCACTATTCCTCCCACCACAATGATGGGGACTATTCCTCCCACTGACAGCAACACCAATGATGGGGCACTATTCCTCCCACTGATACCAATGATGGGGCACTATTCCTCCCACTGACAGCAACACCAAATGGGGCGCTATTCCTCCAACTGATACCAACTGAGGCACTATTCCACCACTGATGGGGGGCACTACTATTCCTCCCACTGACACCAACGATGGGGCACTATTCCTCCCACTGATACCAATGATGGGGCACTATTCCTCCCACTGACACCAATGATGGGGCACTATTCCTCCCACTAATACCAATGATGGGGGGACACCAATGATGGGGCACTATTCCTCCCACTGATACCAATGATGGGGCACTATTCCTCCCACTGACACCAATGATGGGGCACTGTTTACTTCCACTGACACCAATGATAGGGCACTATTCCTACCCACTGATACCAATGATGGGACACTATTCCTTCCACTGACACCAATGATGGGGCACTATTTCTCCACTGACACCAATGATGGGGCACTGTTTACTTCCACTGACACCAATGATGGGGCACTATTCCTCCCCACTGATGGGACACTATTCTTCCCACTGATACCAATGATGGGGCACTATTCCTCCCACTGATACCAATGATGGGGCACTATTCCTCCCACTGATACAAATGATGGGGCACTATTCCTCCCACTGACACCAACAATGGGGCGCTATTCCTCCAACTGATACCAATGATGGGGCACTATTCCTCCCACTACCAATGATGGGGCACATTCCTCCCACTGATACCAACGATGGGGCACTATTCCTCCCACTGATACCAACTGATGGGGAACTATTCCTCCCACTGACACCAATGATGGGGCACTATTCCTCCCACTGACACCAACAATGGGGCGCTATTCCTCCAACTGATACCAATGATGGGGCACTATTCCTCCCACTGATACCAATGATGGGCACTATTCCTCCCACTGATACCAACGATGGGGCACTATTCCTCCCACTGATACCAATGATGGGGAACTATTCCTCCCACTGACACCAATGATGGGGCACTATTCCTCCCACTGACACCAACAATGGGGCGCTATTCCTCCAACTGATACCAATGATGGGGCACTATTCCTCTCACTGACACCAATAATGGGGCACTATTCCTCCCACTGATACCAATGATGGGGCACTATTCCTCCAACTGACACCAATGATGGGGCACTATTCCTCCCACTGATACCAATGATGGGGCACTATTCCTCCAACTGACACCAATGATGGGGCACTATTCCTCCCACTGATACCAATGATGGGGCACTATTCCTCCCACTGACACCAATGATGGGGCACTATTCCTGATGGGACACTATTCCTCCCCACTGATACCAATGATGGGACACCGTTTACTTCCACTGACACCAATGATGGGGCACTGTTTACTTCCACTGACACCAATGATGGGACACTATTCCTCCCCACTGATACCTGTGATGGGGCATCGTTTACTTCCACTGACACCAGGACAAAGGCCACAGACCAGCGCCCCTAAAGTCTGAAGGAAAGTAAACTGGCCCTTTGTTTAGAGTTTGGAGACCCCTTGGCCAGATGTTGCTGGGCATCCTTCCGCCAGGAAATGAGGCAAAGCTCTATTTGACTTGCCGCAGCTTCTAATGCACATTGTGAGAAGCTCGCAGTGTGCAGTGAAATCAGAATAAGCCGTTTCAGGATCCGGTACAACTGTGCAAGACTGACGGGAAGGCTGGAGGCGGGATCTAAGTTGCGTCCGTTTTACGTGGTTCTCGTTTTTCCAATGCAATTGGATGGTTGTTCATTTCTAGCAGACGTTTGGAAAATTGAGATTTTCAGTGCAGAGTGGCGTTTGTAGGGTTAGATCCAGGACATGCC